TTTATATATTCCTCTTTACATTACTCTTCAACATGTCATACGCTTTGTACCACATTAACAGCCCTAATATTTTTCCCATCATAACCCTTATCATTCCACAAATTCTTAATTATTTTTATTATTGATTTAATTCTACATTAAGTCTATTATGTGACTTACGTTTCCACTTAAATTTCTTACTGGAAATTTTCCTCGCAAATGACAAACTCAGACGATTCCCGAAGCGATGCAGCAGACACACACGCACACGCACAGACACACACACGCACACCGTGGTACTTACTCGAGGCATGCAGGCTAAGATCGAACAGCCTGGCATAGCTGCCTCTGGCATATGCCAAGAATTAATACTTGCATTACTACTTATCTTCCATAACACTCTATTCACTAGTAATATTAATTACACAATAACTCTAACTTTCACCAACTTTAGCTACCACAATCGTCGTAATGCCGAAGGCCAGTTGTGGTGTAATGGTAAGAAATGTATACGACTTAATGGACCGAAACACTGACCAATTATAATAATCTCACAAATTTTCTAATTTTTATTTCTCGCCGTCCTTTTCCTTTTTTTTTCTTTTTTTTCCATTCTTTTCTATTATAACTTTCTATTACTCATGTCGATTATAGGTGCGGTCATCGATTTTGTCAGAATCCAAACAGCCTGGTATAAAACTGCATTCAACTTGTGTGGAGCATCCAGTAGCATCACTAGCATGGGATTACTATACCAACTGTCCGAGCGATTTTACTATTTTCAGTACATTTTTACAAAAAAAAAGTACCTTATGATCCAAAGCAGGTTTGAGCGATCTCGAGAAGAATGTGAAATTATCACCATCTTTATGCAGTTGCAATCTCTCACCATCATACTTAATTTCGGCGTACATTTCCCGGGAGAACTTGCTCATCGCTTGCTCAACACTACGACATGATTCTGCCTGAATGAAGAAAAATTAAGAATTTTAGAAAATAAGCCCCACATAAATCAAAATTACCCAAGTAAATTATTCCAGGGATTTCATTTCAATTTTGCGCAGGATCTAAGCAGATCGCAGCATCCAGATTGACTCTGGAAGATTTTGCAGATGGCGAAGGTGCGAAGGAATTCAGGAGACAAGAAATAGTATAGGAGGGAAGGTAAGAGTGAGATAAGACGTTTCAGTCCATTAAGTCATATACGTGTTTGGCGAATTCCAGACCCCCTGTGTGTAATAGTTTGAAGGTTCCAGAAGTTTGCGACAAACAATTGGCTATTTCTTTTGGGACGAAATCTCTTGCAAAGACTACTACTGGACTAAGCTAGTTTTTTTCATACGAGATAAATGTATATGACTTAATGGATCGAAACATTTCTTACCGATGTTTAAAGAAATTTTTTATAAAAATAAATTTTTAAAAAATTTTTTA